ATCATTCAAATTGTTTCAAACAAAAGACGCCAATTAATATAAATGATTTCGAAGGTATCCCCGCTGAGCTTTCCAATCATTCTAGTTAATACTTATTCGATTGCGCAGATTTCCACGCTCGCGTACAGAGAAATAGAAATACCAGACTCCACCGTTGCACGGCGCCCATTGATAGAGAATTTATCGAATTAAACCGATAATATCGCGGGGCTTTTCACTTCGCTCTATATCCACGGATGAAAATTGAGAATTACGTCCCGGTATAATTGTACATTGTTCCGACTGAATCGCGCCCGTGTCAACAACAACAAAAGCATCGGCGAACGGGTTCGAAACGGGGGGGGGAGGGGGGATTCACAAATTAACCGGAATAATATTCCTCGTAGATGCTACGAATTTTTAAAATCATAACCACCGAAAACACCATTCAAACGCGTTTCAGAGACGAACGGGTAGGGAGGTGGGAGTGATTTCAAGCGAGTCTTTCCGTGGGCAAAACCGGAAATTAAAGAAACTCCCGCAAACAGTGGACCGGACGCGACGCTGCAGTTTCTTTTTTTTTCCTCTTCATTTCTCTCCTGTCGCACACGCACCCTGCGACCAGCGACGACGAAAAGACCAGTGGAAAAATCAGAAAACAAGAAAACATGTAAAAAAAAAAAACGAAAGTAGAACATGATAGCAATGACCAATTTTCGGGGGAGCAAGGGTCGGGATCAGAGCCCCGCGTATCTCATTTCGCGTGGCGGACGAGACCGACCGACCCAATTTTCAGTGACAATGCGCCCCACCGCGGGAATGGGACAGAAACGAATAAACGATGGCGACGGAACAGGGACAAGTAAGTGTGGTGGCGGTTGAACAGGGTAGTAAGGGGTGTGTGTGTGTTGACGAGGGGTGGTGGGAAGGGTTGAAACGCGCGCAACCGAGTGGTTTTACACGAGCCGCGTGCTACTCCCGCAATTCATGCGGGGCGCAGGAACTGATATTTCGCCGGAAAATGAATCACCCTTATACAAACGAACGGACGGACACACAGTGGTAACGGGACACAATAGTCAGACAATGGGGAGAGCGTGGCTTTCGGGCCCGAGCGCGCTAGAGATCGTAACCAGGGGGATGCGAGGCAACGTTGGATTCCGTCGGTTTCCCATGGGGAGAGGTAGGAACCCCCCCCCCCCACACACACACACACACACACATACACACGTTCCAGAGTCCCTGGAAAGGATGAGGCCGTTCTCTGTGCCCGGCGACGGGACAAAGGTGAGCATTTAGAAATACAAACCGTGTCGTGGCGAGGCAAACAACGTCCAAATTAAATTGCCGACGTCCATTAGGGACCAGGGCCTCGTCACGACGGGATCTCTTGTCCGACTGAACGGCAATTATCGTCTAATTAGCGCACTATACTTGGCCGATCGACGGCAGACTGGTTTGTGTGATATTTCTTGGAATAGGATTTATCACTTATGGGAGATGGAGCAGGAGGGGTGGTACAACTGGAGGTCATTCTATATGGAAGAATAAGGTCGAAAATGTGGAATAACATTTTGTTGAGATCATCGAATTTAAAGATTCATCTAATGTGTATATGTATGTACAGTAAATCCTCGATGAGTGTTCGAAGACTCCCCGGTACTGAACATTAAATACCACAGTGTTAAATCTCATTAAAAAGTCAACGTTACACCTGGGAACCTTTCCTTGTCAGTGTCGAGGAGCCTTCGAATACTCACCGAGAATTTACTGTATTCGTGCTGATAATAAGTAGAAGCGGAATGTAATAAACAGACGCGTTAGCCGATGGTCTGGAATTGATTACCAAGAATTGGATTATCCGTAGAACTAAGCATAGTGTAAAAAAGTTCATTATAAATTTTCGTTGACTTTTTTTTTTACTCTCCAGTGCTACCACTCGCCCCCAACCAACCCTATATGTATATACGCAAAATTTAGTACATCCCAAGAAGAAACATTATTACTGTTTGAAATTGATTCTCGGGGAATTAATAGAAATCTATAGTTTTCGTTGTTGAAACATCGAAACCATGCTTTACTATATAATAATAATATTTAATAATAAATGGTTCCGAACAGCCATTTCACACGATTAATATTGAAATTAATTATACTAATAGTAATCATGTCAATACTGTTGTACACGTATACGAAACGCAGCAAATGAAAAGGTCGATAATACTCCAGAACAATATCAACAAAATAATCAATATTTTTATATTTCTATCAACTACCCACATAATGGAATCATAATGTATTTCCTGAATATACCACGTGTTTTTATTACGATCATATACAGGAAATAAAAATATGTTTTACATCCAGTGGTAGTATTATACCCGCCATTTTAACGAATCAGAGGGACTTCTGTTGTTCACGATACGAATCATTCTCGACTGAGGAGCGAGAATTCCAAATTTTTTGATAGAAGCAATTTCCATAGAGTGTTTCAACGGGAATATTAGAGCCGAAGCAAACGAAGGGGCACGCGCGGTTCAGGCATACCCGCGCCCGCTTTTCTGTTTAGCATGGCACGCAATATTGCAAACACTTTTGCCCAGAAGCCCAACTACCATCGTTCCTCTCGTCCCTTTGTTCCGCCGCCGCCGCCCACCCCGTTCTTTGAAGCCCCGCGAACCGACGAAGTAACCAATAAAGTTTTTCTCCATGACGCTCGTATCGGAGGGTAACGACGGACGTTTCTTTTGATGATCGCGGGCGAGTCTGGAGGGCAGACAAACGGGACGCGCCGGCATATAGCATCTACACATAGGGATTCAAATTCGCGTTCTTTGCTGTTCATGAAATTTCAATAGCATCGGCCCGTCAGCCACCGTTACGCGAGAGAGATTGCTCCTTTGAGGTCTGGTCAGTTTCCACCGCCACCGAAGCTCTTGCGCTGAGCTTCTCATGAAATTTAATAGTATCCAGACTCTCGTAAGTTGTTACATCGCCTTTCTTTTGATTTTACCACGGTATTTATCTCGACCGAACGAAACCATCCTTTCTCGATTCCTCTTGTTCCCGAACGAACACTCTGTCACGTTTCCTTTGTAACTGGCACAGTGGTCCTCCGTGTTTTGCGATCTGGTTTATATTTTACGGAGTATTTCAACTTTTACAAATATCACGAATCGACGTGCGAGGACATTCTACAACGGTGGGTCTGGTTTAGATTTTGAAATCTTGAGGAATGGATTTTGAACTGGATTGAACACCAAATTGGGAATTTTACTGTATCGCATTGCTGGTTAATAGAGTATGGACTTTTATGCGAAATCGGTTTTGTATAAATTGAATTACTGCATTGAAATAATGTGACATATTTGTTTCGTTTATTCGAGGTTTCGTTCGGTCGTAAGTGAAGTAAAATGTATACTCGTCTTTACGAAAATTTTTACCGCGTTGTATTCTGTACACGAAGAATCCGAGGCAAATAGACATTTGCATATGTTTCCCAAAACGCTACTTTAGAACATGTTGCCAGTACGTTTAACTCTTTCATTCCGAAATTATTTGAAAATTACCAAAGAAATATTTTCTTGTATTTTTGTGTCTATTAGACGACCTATAAATGATTCACAAGAACATTTGAACATTTTGAAACCGGCTAATGCAATTCTTTTTTTGTCGCCATTTGACAAATTTTTCACTTTAATCACAGTTATATATAATATTTCTCAATATAATTTTCTTATTTACAAGAGAACCAAATATTTCTTACCTTCGATCGATAAACCTGTTTGACATATTTGAAACAGATGAAAAGTTTCGTAAGTTTCTATTGTATCTACAACAAAACTCAACACGTGAATCCCACTAAATGAATGAGACAAACGGCCAACAATGTCCTGTTTTACCAATAACCTATTGAATGCACATTTAAATCTGTGCCGTACCATCGATACAAGACTAGAAGAAACTATGACAGTAAATCCTGGATGAGTGTTCGAAGGCTTCTCGGCACTGAACATTAAATATTTCATAAACTAATGGCCATATATGGCTCAAACAAATAACATTGGCTTCAAAATTCCAAGCTCAATCACTGTGCTAACTTTTATTAAAAAGTCAGCGTTATAACTGGTGACTTCTCCTTGTCAGTACAGAGGAGCCTTCGAACACTCATCGAGGATTTACTGCATATACTGATAAAAATGAAAAAATACATGATACGAATATTTTATTTCGTAATTCAGAATACATGGTCATATAGCAACAGTGGGAATGAAAGGGTTAACCACGTTCCTCTAATCATTTCGTAAATATCCGGAAAGCGATTCCAAGAAGTGTAACACGAAGTTACCAACTATTAGCCCAACTATAACCGCAACGACAAAGAGAAATAGAGAGAGAGAGAGAGTTCAAACCACGCGAACTCATTAGAGTATTAAGTGCCACTTAAACTACCTAGCCCAAACGACGAGAAAAAGGTAACAAGTGCCTCCTGCCTATTGCATCCACCTACGCGCCTCATCGTATCCCGATATCTCGTTTCAACTTCCACTTTGAGCTCACTTCGCAGCTCGGTCTACTTTATCCACACTACTACTCTCTGTGCAAAACCGTCGATTAATTATACAGCCCGAGCTGCTTCGCATTATCACGGCCACCGGTTCCATCTTTTCTCCCCCGATGTTACATCACCTGTTACATCACTTCCCGCCACGCAATTTTTCCAGCCAGACAGTGTTTCCCCGTCCCCTTTCCTCTTTCCTTTTCATTGGCGGTACGATCTTGCAACGATCCATAAACGAGTCTTTCACAGACTGTAGTATTCGTTAGCGCAATTTTCATAGTCAACGGTATATCCTCCTTTTTTCTCTCTATTGTAAACTGGCCGTGTTATCTTCCATGGATGCAACCCTCTCCGCAACATATAAAGGGATTACACGAGAGAGGATGTTCGTTCGTCACTCTCGAGGGGAACAGAGATGGCGGCATCCTATTTTCTTGCTCGCGTCAACCAGGTGGGAAATTCAATAGATCGCTGGACGGTGGAGAATGTTGTATAGATTGTTACGATGGGCATGATCTATGGGTGCGCCGTGGCCTGGACGACCCCAGAGTCGCGTCCATGTATCGAAGTGCCTGCGACAGCTCTCCTGCTCCATCCGTCGTTCCTCCTGGAACGAGAGAGAATCTACCCTGAATACCCTGTCCTATACCTCTCCTTGTGTCTGCGTGTTCTGGGTACAGTTAATTGCATACTTGGAGAAGCTCCCAACGCTTCTCTATGGGGCAAGTGGAAGTCTTGGCTGTCTGATCAAACGGAAGCGATAGTTCTACTGTTTGGTGCCTTCCAGTATGTGTATAACGTTCATTGACACAGCTAATTATTAATAAGGTGAAATTAGTTTGGTATAATTACACGACGAAACAATCTTATTCGAAGCTCGGAACTCCTTCTATTTTTTAACCCAGTGATTCCTAACCCTCTTTGGAATATACCCCACCTAAACTTCTGAAAGATCTTGATGGCCCCCTAGCATAATAGTGAACTAACTTCGGAAAAAGTTTTAACATTAACGCTACTTCAAATAAAAAAGGCACATAGGTGAAACTGTTGCTGATCAGGTGACAAATGTCAATGATTTAGTAATTGTCTCTTGAAATATTCTAATTAGCTTCTCTTAGCCTTTTGCTCGCTAAGGGGCCTTTTTTTCCTCAAATTTTTCTGATAATCTGGGATTCGAATTGTCAATTCTTGATAGATAAATGAACCATGACTGCAAGGCGTGCATTTTGATCCACTGAAATGAAATAAACGTCGCTTTTAACTACGAATGATCATTATTTAATGGGACTAAGTGTGCAAGTAACTCAACACGCCTCTAACCCGATTCGATAACACGTGTTGTTACAGTTAGATTCCAGATCGAGTAACAGGCTGCGGTTATGCGATTCTCCTTGATCATTCTCCACTTACCAATGCGTGATCCCGTTTCCATCGCATTTGCTCGACGAGCTCCGTGATGTACTCGCGATTCCCGACTCCCAGGGCTCGTAATCTGCCGACAAAAGCGGCATAAACGGACTTGTGCGTCTCATAAGGCCGTCGAACCGTCACTGCTTCGTGTGGTCTTACTTGAACATTGAGTTACTCGACTGACTACATAAATGTATTATTCATTCAAAGCTTTCATTGATTACATCAACCGTTATTGAAAATAATTTTCAGTACACCTGATGAATTAGAAATAATAGAAACATATAGGTACATGGTTGCAAGTAGTATATGTCCGCGTGTTGTCAGACATGTCTAATTTCATAGTCTACAAGTGGTACTTTACCTTCTTCGATTAAATCAACCATTATTGGAAATAATTTTCAATGTACCTAGATGGAGGAGGAAGGATTTGAATGTAATACAAGCATATAGATATATGAGTGCAAGTAGTAGAAGCCAGAATATTGTCAGACACGTCTAATTTTATAGTATAAAGATTGTACTTTACTTTCTTTGATTGAATCAACCGTTATTTAATATAATTCTCAATACACCTAATATAATTAGAATTACCATAAACATACGTGTACAGGTGTAAGTGGTAGAAGTTAGTGTATGGCCAGACGCGCCAAATTCCATAGTATAAAGACTGTACTTTATACGAACTTTCCCTAGATGAACTATATTGAAAACAATTTCTACGAGAAGAAAAAATAGGAGACAGTGAAAATTCGGAATGTATCGTGGTATATTCGTTTAACTTCACGAATTAAATTTTCGAAGAAGAAAGTTTAGGTATACTTTAATCGTAATTAAATCTTCGATTTTTTCGTTCAGACGTGCAGAGTACGTGCGTGCACGGTCTTTTTCCCCGAAGTATTTAGCTTCCGTCGTCAAATGCCTGATCAGAAACAGCTGAAATTGCAGTCTATAATTACTTTGCTAGCGCGTTTAAAACGCCGCCGCCAGGCGAAATTGCAGCTGGGTGCGCGCGCGAAGCTTTCACTCGTGACAACACAAAGGCAGCCCAGTTATAAATATTCGAACAATAACTTCTAATTCCAACGGTTTGTGCAACGTCCATGGAACTCATTCCGATACATATGAGAACATACAAAAACTTCGACGCCCCCGTTTTTTGGAATTTAACAGAAACGACATAGGCGTTCGCTTAAAATCGCACCGTTTCACTTTAACAATGTAAACATTCGGGAACTTGAATTCCACAAAAGGAACTATTTCGACAATCACCTGGTTCTGTTGTAAAAATTGATCAAAGAAAGCTATTCAAACCAGCAAGTCGCGCACCAAACACGAATACTCCCTTATTTATCGAAATAAACTCGAATTCTAATACTGATAATACTCTGTAATTTCGAACACTTATGGAAGGCAGTACACTAAATGCTCGCCCAGTGTTCGAAGGCTCGTCGGCACTTAAGTTTAAATATTTCATAAACATTAGTTGTCCACATAATTCCACAAAATTCCATAGCTGTGATGAACCTCATTAAAAAATCAGCGTTACACCTGAGAACCTCTTCTTGTCAGTGCCAAGAAAACTTCGAATATTTATCGAGGATTTACTGTACCGTGTACTGTACGTGTAACACGATGTAATTTTCCTGTGACAAGAAACCGAAGACCCACAGTTTTCCATCCTCCTCGATAAACTTCTTCCCAGCGATCTATAAAAGTTTCATTGGGCCCGGACGCGTTCGAAAAAAGCCTTGGCATCGCAATGAAACGCGCGCGTTAAAGTGGATCCAAGGAGCAAGAACGATGTACCGTGGAAAACAGGGACGATACCTTTTACGACGTTGGAATATGTGAGGGAAACACATCGGGGAGGGTACTTGTTGCCACGCTTCCTGGCTAACTTCCGCCCGCTTAGGGGGAGGGGTGGCGCAAACTTCCATCGCCCCAAGGAAGAATTATTGCTCCATGCGTTGTTCCGCCGGTGGGCCGTTCGCAATTTTATGCGAATTTTTATCCGAACACGATGCTATTCTATAAACCTCTCATCGATGTGTTTCCACGTTAAGCGAATAAACGGAGACAAGTTGAACGGCGAGAAGAGGATGAACGAATAGAACGCATAATTCGCCTGCGAGAAACGTAACTTCAACCCCGTCGTGGGAGGTGTGGCGACTTAATTCACTGCTGAAGCTGGAAAGAGGCGGTATTAAAAGCGTGGATTAGCCGTGGGTTTCGAGGGAACGTCAGAAATAATTCACTTCGAACATGTGTGAATCGCGACTTTCCACCAGAGATAAATCGATGTCCCGTTGTGTTAAAAGTAGAAATCTTTCCATGTTTCAACCGAATCCCACGGTTTACTGTTCTCGGTGGCAGGTTGAAATGGGATGAGTTTCTTAAAATAGGGAAATTACAAAAATCTGCCTTGGATTAGACGAGGATTCGGTTTGCGCGCGTGAGAAATAATCCCCGAGCGGGGGGACGCGATGCGAGGAGTTAAGCCCTCGGCCCGAACACGTAAGAAAGGATAATCAGGGGACTGCCTTGGGGACACGTACACCGGACAGTCTGTGCTTAGGGTGTTTACCCCCTTTAATAAGGGTGCTTAAGCGGCCGCGTTATCCAGGGAAAACTGTTGGAAAGTCTGACGGGAATGTAATTTTCTTGTTTCGCCATGGTCTAACGGGAATATCGTTCCATCCGTTGCCAATTGAAAATCTCGTTTCTTGGGTTCAAGGATACGGAATACGGAATGAGAGTTCAGTGAAAAGTAGCGGATCGGGAATAATAGGACTTGTAACAATCGAGAGGCTTCACGAATAAATTGGATCGGATTATTGCATCGGGTAATAATATGTGAAATTATGTCCCGTTTTCGTGTGATCCTCGAATATCTTTTTCAATTGTGTAGACGCAGAAAATATTTAATACGTAGTTTGATTCGTATTAAGTGATCAGTATCTTGTAGACGTTATTTTTTTCTCGAAGTGCTTAAGGTCATCGTTAAACTTCATTTTTTAGGATCAAGGTCATTTGAAGGTCATATCATAATACATATCTGAATGTACTTTTTCATGAGCTATGCGAGGCAATAAGAATAAATATGTAGTTATTTGAAAAAAAAAGCATCGATGACCTTGATAACATTGAGAAAAAAAAACACTTGTAGGATACTGACAACTTAATACCATTCGAATTACGTACAAAATATTTTTAATGTTTTCACAATTGAAAAAAGATATTCCGGGGGTCACACGTAAAAAAAATTTAGTTTAAAATAATATTTTGACTTGCGAGGATTCGCGAGTGATTCAATTCCGAAGTCAAGTTTCCAGGCGGATCGAGTTCTCGTCAGTTTGAAGAAAGGAGAAACCGAAAGATCGGTGGAAATAAGAGCAGCGCATTGTTCCGGGGGTCTATTCTTTCCTCGAGGAACGTTCGCCGACAAGAGTGTAGCTTCATTATAACTGGAACAAGACATGAATTGGACCGAGTGTCTCCGTGACTCAGCTCGTGGTGCCGTTTCAAGAGAAAAGCTACCAGTCAGAATTAGAAAATGAATCTGACTGGAGCAAACAGTGGTCTCAGATGGAAGAAAACATATTTCTCGACCAATTATATCAAGAAAGGAAAGATTCAGTTTCTCCCAATTATTATACATCGGTTCACAACTTTCGTCTTCTTTCCCTCTCGAAGGTAGTCGATAATCGACGATGATTAATTGCCACGGAGCGTTCCAGTGACGTCCAAGCATATTATAAACCGAGTAACACCCATGGCGACCGCTTCATACAGAATTCCATTAAACGGTATCAAAGTGTCTCATTATGCATCACTCTCTCTCCACCCTGGTGTTCCTGTCTGTAACCGGCACGTGAGCACTACATCAAGGGGCAATATCATCTCGTGGCTCACGGTGAAACTTTAAACGAAATAAAATTGACGAAACGATTAGTTATTATGCTAACGACGATCTCGCCTCATTTGCTTCGGTAAACGAGTGTGGACGAAAATTGTTTGGAAACTGGTAGTGATACGATTAACTGTACCTATACGGAGGAATGATAAGTGGAAATGGTCGATCACTGATCAGACGTCGATGTGAAATAAAAGATTCTGCAGTGGATTTCCAAACGAAAAAGTAGACAGTGAATCGTTCCATGACCGTTTCTTGCGCTCTATTCCAAAGAATCTACATCTTCCATTCGTCCCACGGAAACAATACAAAAAAAAAAAAAAAAAACACGGATACGCAGTTGCAATATCGAAACGGTAATTGCGCGTTCGCGCGGAAAAATACACCGAGCGCCGTTTAGAAACGATTCCTTTTTCCTTCGACTTGCGAAGAAGAGCTGATACTGCTGCAGCTATAGTAGGTACTGGGCGAAAGAAAAGCAATCTTTCAAAGTGGACGGAGAAAGTAAGAGGAAAGTGAGCGGCATGAAAGACAACACTCGACGAGGCAACCGTCTCGAACGATTTTTCAGCGTGTAATTACCCGAACGCCCTCGAACCAGGCAAGGAGAGCAACTCCCCCCCCCCCCCCCCTCCTTCCCCTCCACACGAACTGGGGGCGGAGATGCTGCGAGGAAAACGGTGTTGACGAGTACATAGACCGACAGGCTATAACGTTGACAAACATTCGAGGGGAAAGGGGGGTAGATTGCGTTGGAGGGTAGTAAAGCATTTGCTGGAGTTTGTCGGGGTCGCGAGAGATCGGGTCAATGGGCTGAATTACCTAAAATGTAGTTACATCCGCCTGGAGTGTAGCAACAACACTAACAAGAGCTCGTGGGCGTATGAACAACTGTACGTTGCATTCTGGACATTACTATAGAACCTCATTCTACTACAAAAGAAAACGTGTCGCGCATCTGACAAGGGGGACACCAAGGTGCGGTACAGTAAATCCTCGATGATTGTTCGAAGACTCCTCAGCACTGACTCGGAGAGGTCCTCAAATGTAACGCTGATTTTGTAATGAGGTTCAGCACAGCAATAGAGCTTGGAATTCTAAAGTCAATGATATTTGTTTCAGCCACATATGGATACTAGTTTATGAAATATTTAATGTTCAGTGCCGAGGAACCTTTGAACACTTGTGGCGGCAGTACCTCCTACATTCGCCATCAGAGGTCTACCGAGTTGACACCTTTCCCGCAACTACCTGAAGCCTTCCTCGTTCGTATATATACGTCCTTAACCGACCATCGTATATCCCCGCGTCTAAGGCAGGGTCTGCTAGAAAGCCTTACTGACGAGTCCACTAGCAGGCCCAGGACGAAACGCTCCCTCTCCCTCTCCTTTCCTTTTCACATTTTCCAGTCAACAGATTACCGCCAAACACTCGTGGATGATTTACTGTAGTCGGTTGCACTAGACTTACGTCTTCTCCACTATGACATTCTTTACGTAAATGAATGACTAGATGCATACAAAAGTTTAAACCAGAACATCTCGAAAACGAAGGCCTGTTCTATGAAACGCCAATTAGGGTTTTGTAACACTATACGTGTACTGCAACTTGCACCTAGTGTCGTTCCAAAAGCGATTATCGCACCTTACCGTCCCCTTAGTGAACAGTTTTGAAACTCGTCGTGGTTTTAAGTCATGTAACTATGGTTACTGTGTCCGTGAATCCTGTCGAGAGGATTACAACCGGGCAGCAAGCGAGGAAAGCAAAGAAACAGGGAAGAAGAATCGGGAAAAATTTCATTTCCATGCGATACGTACGAGTCTATCGTGTATCCAGGACGCGTAGCATCGGTCGCGACGTAACGAGTGCTTTGTGGCTGGGAGTAATAACGTCTGCTGGTCAAAAGCGGCACCAATTCCACACCCCCGGTCAGCTCGTACACCTGAATTTCCTCGTTGTACCGATGCCCGGAATCCTGCACCAGCTGCATGTCCGTTGCAATACCTGGCGAAACGTATCGATCGTTAAATCAGCTTGATACCAATCGAACTCGAACCGAAGTTTACCTGGCTCCGCCTTGTCGTCGAAGAACCTGTTCATATCCGTAACGGCCATGGGATTGATGGTCCTCCGATGGAATCTTTCGATCGTCGAGTTGCTCGTCCAGCCCTGAAAGACTGAACATTTCGACGGAACTCGATGCGTACTGGTGCAGAGATGTGGTGCAAAGTGCACTGATTCAGACGAATGGAAGCTTTAACGTACAGTATCGTTGTTGAGTATTAGGACAAGCTGAACTGTACGAAGAAAATGTGATTTTTCATGAAAATGATTCTGTGTACTGGATCTCCGTGATTGTGTGCTCGTTAGGGATGTTTGATTTAGATTCCATTCTTCAGAAGATCGATTCCCTTGGGTAACACGTCACTGTATAACACATACAATAACGGCCGAAAGTCCCAAGGGAATCGATCTTCCGAAGAACCGAGTTGGAATCGAACATCACTAGTGCGCGTGCGTGTACAAAATTAGAAACGTGATGGTAATTGAAAAGCGAAGTCCCTAAGTTCGATGAAAATTGTCGAGTATATTAATCGAGATTTTCACGAGACTACATCGAAACTATACCGTAGACCGACGAACGTTGAATCTGATGAAGAGAACGTCACCGTGTTCAGCCGGAGGGTCCGACGAAACTGAAATTGGAGTTATATCTTAAGCAGCAGTCAACCGAAAACCCTGTCTTGAAACTATCGTTCAGTCTCACCAACCACAGATTCATCAGCAGCCTCGGTGAGAACGATCGAAATCCCGAAACAACTTCACACAGACCAGCCGATGAAGATCACCGAAAGGTGGATAAATGAAAGAAAGACGGTAGTGGGTGACGACCGTAGAAGAATTTATCACTGGATAATCAGTAATCACTTAGGTCGTATATACGGAAGTAAACACTCATCCCCACAAGGCTGGATCCATTCATCAACGTCGTTCTAGTTAGCTGGTTAGCCCAGGTCCCTGGCGGTTTATTACGAAGAAAAACAGAAAACCATTCATAAATCCATGCGCCATAAATCCATGTCTCGTATCACAGTACAGAGAAGACAGAGTGAGAGAGAGGGGGACGGACAACAACGATAACGAGGTGGGACGAAGGAAGATCCATGAGGCCAAAAACGAAGAAGAGCTCTATATAGGGAAGGACGATGTACACGCGTTACTAGCGAACGAAGTAAACTCGGCTGAAGTGGAATGCTGGTAATAAATTTCCGTTTAAACTTTCCGGCCGCGAAAGCTGCCTGAAAACGATCGTTCAATTACGCAAGTAACGCTACACGGTTATGTGTGTGAGGTTTGGCGTTCGAGGATACTGCTAGAAGCGGTTAATTAAAAATTAAGAGTTTCGTGATGTTGGTCGACCCGCGAAACGACGAGGAGAAACAGAAAGGAGGAGACTGGGCACCCGACTCAAACGAAATATCTCCTGAACGTGTGTTAATATAATCACTGATTTCCACTTCAAACGTTGTTTACACCGTCCCCTCTCTGTACACGATGCGATGCTTCCACGCGATAGAAAAAATTCACGGCGGTCCTTCTGCCGACAAGGGCGCGCCTCGTTGCGTTTCGTTTCTCGGTTTTCCACTTTGACACAGCCACGATCGCAAGAAACGACGAGGCGAAGAGTCGACGAGTCCTGGTTAAATTTCATTTGCAGCTAAACGATCCGGTACCGCGACATTAATGGGCTATGTAGTACATGTTGGATATAAATGTCGCTCGACTTGTCTCTGTGCCACGATGATACTCGAGCTCGCGAGTCGTGGTCGTGTCGGGAGAGTCGAAAGATGAAGTATTTTTCATACTTGGATTGTCAGGATACCCATATGGCGGCCTTAGGACTGCCACCACGTCCTTGTTTCTTTTCGTTTCGATTTTTTTTGTAACTTTCACTTTTCTGGTCTTTCGTTTCGCTTTACTGTTTCCTGTATATTTTTTCTCTTCAGCGTTTCTCACGGTCTCGTGCGAGTCTGTTTATTGCCATGCATCGACGTGGTTAGTATTCAATTCTTCAAATGTCAAGGACCATTTCACTTACATTCATAACAAATCTCGAACATCGTACACCATTTCCATTGGCACGATAAAATTGTAAAGATATTTACGATTTAAAATATTTCACTTCACAATTAAAGGAAACCGTCGATTACTTGAACATCTAGTACGAGCAGTAGAAGTACCGAAATTGTAATTTTTCCCTAAATCGTAATGACAAAATCCATGACCACGAGGTGAAAGCCACTAGTTGCCCAGAGTAGATCCGTGTTCTAGGCTCCAGGAATTGCGTAAGGGTGATCGGTGTGTACGCATTCCCTAGTAATCAAGCAAACTTAACCATAAGGGGCAGGGTGTGGGGGTGGTGGTGAGGGTTAATATAGCTAGCTGATCGTTCAAGGACCATCGTGCTTAACGCATCAGAGGGTATGCGTACCAGGGACTCGAGGAATCGCACGCCCAGCAACTTGGGATCCCTCCAAGGAACTCCACCAGGACCGGGTCGACCCCAGGGCCAGAAATGCGCCAGCTAAGCACACGGGGCGTCGTGGCATATTAAACAGTTTCCAAGGTTCGTTTCCTACTTCCGCGAAGCGACTGCCTCGTGCTCAATATGCTGATGTGCAGGGTGTACACTAATACGTCGGATATATACATTCCCGGAAGTAATGTGGAAGCTCGAATAAACACGTGATTCAATGATGACGATCTACTTCTAGAGAGTTTGTCACGATGATCGAAATGTAAGGACTGAAATGATCGTTATACAGGGTGAACCACGAATCGTGATCAGTAGAGATTACTCTCTTATTAGCAGTCCGATCGAAAATGTTTTTATCAGGTATAACATGGTTTCAAGAGTCAACTCTTTTTTTTTTCATGATTTTTTCTTTAAGGTCACCTTCAATTGTTTGCAAATACAGCTATAATTTTTTTACGCCTATCTGATTTCAAGACTAATTCGATAAGTATCATAACATAACATTTGTTACTTTTTTTTCATCTGGGTCGAGAAAAGATTAGAGAAATATGCGAAGTGTAATATTACAAAGAGTATCATATGCTACGCCATTGTACGCGTTTCGATGTTCAGCTCTTGCCTACTGTTCGTAAACATTTCGTTGTGTACATTGGAACACATCCGATAATATTTACTGATCACGATTCGTGGTACACCTTGTATATTTACAATGAGAAAACATGCCGAATTTCTTAAAGACAACCCGACGATATATCCCTGGATAATACATAATAATCACGGAGTTTCAGTACGGAAGAAATCGACTTTTCCCGCTATGAACAGTTCTGGTTTCTACGTGATCGGTGAACGATACTATCCGTGACTCGACCAGGAAACGAGCTGAACACCCCGACCATGTCGACGTTCTCTCTCTTTATCGACGTTATTGCCGGCAGAAAGATGTTTCCCGTTTGCCCTACAACGAAAGTCCATTACGGTGTGTCCCTTTTATACGCGAGCACCGACGAAAGTCGGATCATTTCGGGGCCATTCATAACGTAGGTAACTTTATTGTCGCGTGGAGAGAACCGGGCGTACTGGATTAGATTAACGCAGGTTTGTACTATAGAAAATAGTATTTCCTTTCGGAAGATCGTATTAGACTAGAATATATGTTCTTCCATGAATTCTCTACCCAATTCCTTATTTCGTTGTATCTTCAAAGTGATTCTACTCTATCACAGTTCGTAACAACGTGTACACTTCTCAGTAAAAGATAAAACTATTGTAAAAAGGTTCTCCGTCGCAGTAAGTACTTTCTATTATTTCAATTAGAAAGATAGGGAGAGTTTCAAGGAACATGTAAAATTTCAATTACAAAAGACTCCGTGGTAGGTCTCGGGAAACGATTGAAGCTCCGAGACACGAGAGCAACGCTTCCGTTCTAATCTAAGCTTACGCAACATCGACCTCCCCTACCGGTCGATCGAATTATCGCGTCGAATTACCAGACGATCGAAGAATTATCCCCGGGAAAAATTGCCTGGAACGTCGTTAACGGGGTGTCGTTAAACACGCGAAGGAATATCGACGCGTGCTGATCGATACGCGGGATAATACATATTCCATGAACGCGAGGTGACTGAAGAGTTTCGTGGCTGAGAGATCGCTTAAGATGTTAATGAAAGCGAACGCCAAGCGTGGTGACAGGACGATATCATCGAATTTCATCAGCTACGCGACGATAACGATAACTCTGACCGTCCTACGGCCCTTCGAACGCCCTTTGTCGCGATTCGATCGACCCGATGTCGCCGTCCACGATGGCTTTTTCCCCGTCAAACGCTGATGATAGAGTACTTGATCGCTAGATCGCGATAGCCCAGTGTTATCATATTGGTAATAGTTAGTAATAAGAAAATCATCGACTATGACCAAACGTTTTGTCGAACGCCATATTTGTAGAGATAGTTTCTATTGAATAATTGCTAACAACTTCTAAATTGCTTGTGAATGGTTTGTTATACGAACAACTGTGTCTAACAAAAGTTGTATGGAAAGGGCTATATCATGTATCAGTCGGTAAAACTGGTGGTACAACCGGAAGGCTATGATTCTACATAAAAAAAGTGAGTCGAAAATATCAAATAAAATTGTTTCATGTCAGGTTTGGTTTTCGAGAAAATCGAATTTGAATATCAATCTGAAACAGAATGTATTCATCGAGGGAGTAAGTAGAAACGGAACGCAATGAACAGACGCGCCAGCCAAGTCCCATTCAATTGCTCGCGTAGCCAACAGATCTTCGAAGTCGATTTTCTCGAAAAAAGGGGTTTCAGATAAAAAAAATTGTATTCATTATTTTCGACTTATTTTTGCATATAGAATCACCCCCTTTTCGGTTGTACCACCAGTTACCGACCACCTTGCAATTTTTCTCGAAAACAACGTCTCGTATGGAAAAAATTTATTCCACAATTTCGGTTTATTTTTGCACGAGGAATATGTTCTGTTCTCGTTAGTACCACGAACTTTGTCACGTCCTGTATAGACACATCGTCCGGAAAAGGGTTGAGCGACTTCCTGCGAAAGTTTCGTAAGCCAGAATTTCGAGAAAATAGCGGGACAGATACTTGCGAGAATTAGGAATGAGGTATCGGCTCGTCCCCTGTGAGTAATGTCGCTTTCCAAGTTGATTCGTAGCATGCAAGGATCGATCCACGGGATTGCAATTCTTGGATTCTTTTTAGAAGTTTCTTGCTGGATCGATTTTACAACGTAAATACGATACGTAAATAATACTACGGCGGATACACAAATCCTCGTCCGACAAGGTGTCTACGCAATTTCACGCAGGATTGAACGATTTCGCCACAGATATTTCCGATAATGAAATCGTGAATAATGAAACAACAGAAAAGTCGAATGGATGTGGCGTTTCTTTCGGGCGAGGAGATTCAGGAGAAACGCAAGACTCGCCGGGGGGCAACCTGAAATTACAGAATACCAAATAGCCCGCCAGTGGAATAAACTATGCGAAGCGCAGAATGTATTACGGCGTAGAGAACGTTCAAAAGCTGGAATATCTTGCTCGAAATGTCAGGAAACATAGGTAAGAATATTCGAAATAATATTATTTCATTTCATCAGTTGTACTAACAATCAATACTGACAGGAATTCAAAATTCCAGAATTGATCATCTCCATCTCAAACATTCCAACAAGTAATGTACACATCCTGGCATAATCATAAATCACCAAAAAATGTTCAATTCTCATGTATTGTGGTTAAAATGAAACCTGGTCAATTATGCTATTTTCGGAAATCTTGCTAAGAAATTATGTTTCCCCAGAACAGAAGAGATAATGTTCTCTAAAAAAAAAAAATGGTTCCTTTTCATTTTAACCACAATGCATAAGGATTGAAAATTTTAGGGTTGTTTTATACTTATGTCTGTATGTCCTTATCGTTCGTGTCACAAAAATTGTTTCCAAAAATATATGGATGCCATCCCATTTAGTGCTCACAGGGACGAAGTATACGGGTCAGAGGGGCGGAGTATCCTTTTTAAACTTTGAATTGCAAATCGTCACGAGAACCTGTTCTCGAATCATGGTCTCTCGAGCCAATATACCGAGGGCAAACGTTTGCACGGTTATTATCAGCCAATAGACGGAGCCTTCTTCACGGCGATAACAGACCCCGGTGGTAACCTGCCAGGATAATAAGACTCGGAACGACATCCTTTTCCCGCGCAATCACTCCCTCGGCCTAATTCCGCAGCGAGCACAGCCTTCGATCTCGTTTTTCACTGCCTGCGAGTGCCTCTCATGTTTCTGCACGACATCGCGTCGTTGAATAATATTATTCCATCGGTGTTATTCACGGCCCGAATCCCCGTGGATCCGGTGTCCGTGACTTTACACGCGTTCACGTGTGGAACACACGTTTCGTGGTGTTTTATGCGGGTGAAACGAAGAACGGTGTTTCCTTCCTGTAATCGCGTCGTTCTTATAACTGGTATTTCAAGTGTAGCGAACAGCGAGCACAATCGTGTGATTGTTTCGTTGACTATCAGACCGACAAAACGTGATTACAGAAAGGGATTAGAAAATTGTAAGAATACTATGCGTTTTTTAAACTACAACGGTTTTGCGAAAAGCATTGTGGAAATGTGATGGTTTCGTTAACTGTAATATCAATAAAGTACGATTACAAGGAAAGAATAGAGAATCGCGAGCAGACTACGCGTTTATTACTGTTGAACTCACTAACAGTAACAGCGTTCTGTGAAAAGCGTTGCCGGAAATTGTGCTAAGGAAAAATGAAAAAATCGTTTGCGGATGTTGAGCTTCATTCTGTGGAAACTTTGGACGCGGTTCGTGGAATGGAAACGTGTTTGTCGAAGATTAGTTCTGTGAGACGGTATGGAAAGAAATGTTTCATTACGACCTAACGATGTAAGTAATTGAAATAAAGCGACGATGAAACGGGCATGAGTTATATTGTGTCCGTTTGTACGAGTCCAATTTAGATACGTGTTTTCAATTTAACGTTTCCGTGTAATGAATGGTTGAGAAATAAAATTGCAGGCGTTCCTTTGAACTACATAATAACATCTATTGTTTCCGGTAATTAAATCGGTATCACTGTGGACGTCACTAGTCAATGTTTCTGCATGAAGACGTCGTTGAGTTATACTTAAAACAAATGAGATTACTTTAAACAATTTACGAATGAAAAAGTATAAATATTTCGTTCGAGCATTTCTGTTTTCCTATACGACCGGATGAAGGATAGTGCATTCGAGCGTGCTACTTGTTTCTAAATATTCTATAAATCGTTTGAAACATTACCTGACCGAAATTCTGACACTTGGGCGGCTCCGGTGGTTCCAGAGGCACGTTTTTCTTTCTGAGGGTTGCCGCGCAAGGCGCGCCGCCTCCGGGCTTACCCCAAGGCGAATAATTCTCCAAGATTTGCTGGAGCTGTATAAAACAAACAAAAAAAATCTACGTAGAGAAGGATTGCTCTGTACGTAAGCCTGATTTTTCGCTGGAACCGAAAATATTATGCCTCGCGCGCAGTCTGGGTCGAGAGAATTCTAAAGCGAGAAATTCAAACGGAATTAATCCGAGGGAAAAATTACCTCGAACAAAAAGAATAAACCATCCCCTTTATGTACAGAGTGAGTCGCTTAACTGTACCACCTAAATTTACTCGTAAACTACTTGTTGCATAAAAAAATATACAGAAGTAATGTACGCAGCAACAACAACGAATTATCGGACCGGAGAGTAAACTCCCTATGTCAAGCAATAAAGTGCTATATGGACTTGTCATGCATAGAAGTTTCATCATCCTTCACTGAATGTTATCTCTGTAATTATTCGTTTTTGACCCCAATATTCTTTGAACTGCAGGATTAAATATGACACATTATAAAACTAAAACTCAAGGTCACTTTCATACCTCGATAAAAAGTGAAACATCGAATAACTAATTATCACATTGTATGCCTCACTCGATATCAAACAACTTTTGTTTGGAATATTTTTTTACACAGCAAGTAGTTAAGTGACTCGTCCTGTATATCTATGGAAAACATACCACAAAAATGGTCGAGGTAAACGCCGAAAACAGAACGGTTACGCCGATGTATGTATGACACTATACTCCAGCAATAATGCCCGTCTGACACCCCACTGATTGATTTTACTGCACGCTTATCGCGACCTCCATTATTCGCGCAGTTATCGCGAGCGAACGCGTCCGAGAGACTCGTTCGACGATTCACTTTCAAGTCGCGGTTCGTGACGGATTCTAAAACGTTGTTAAAACTCCCTCGGATAGACTCGAAATAAAATTTGAAGCCATCCTTTTGTTTCGCGGATTTAACTGCGTCTCTCTCCTCGGGAAACTCCGAGACAAAACTTTTTTAGCGAAAACCGAATTGTAGAACCGGTGTACCTAATAGTTCCCAGATCGTGTACGCTCGTGGGAAAAATAATCAGCAAGTCTGGTGCGGTGGAGAACCTTTTTTCTGAACGGAAAAAATCACGTTACAATTATCGTTAATTCGTCGACCGTAATCTGTAAGCGGTGTTCGATGTTTATTATTATGTAAAAGACAGCCTCTACTGCGGAGGCTTTGTGGCATGCTAATGCTCGAGCACCCTTAATTCGGTGTCGGGGGTAGAAGGGTGGTGGGTGAGACGCGATAAGTAATTCGGATGCATTTTACGACCCTTGAATATTTTAATCTTTTATTGCATTCTGCGGTCACCGTGGTACACGTATGAATCTCCTACCAGAAATTCTTTTCTCCCCACGCGCGGGCGCAAAGAAAAAAGAAAAAACCTTTCGCCCACTGATAATTCCACCGTTTTCCCGACGTAACCGTGTAAAATGGATATTTACAACCTTTTTAAAACGAAAGCACGCCCTTGTGAAATACGCGGGCGGAGTTTAAGGTATGGACTGAAATTAAAAAATTTAACCCCCCCGGTCCCTCTTATTAAAACTAGCGATCGTTGCGACGGAGAAAAATTGTCCGTTGTTACTTCCCCGCCTATACTTTATCGGTTCGAATAACAGAGAATTTTATTCTTATTATGCGACTCGTTGCAAACGTTTACGAAATAGAGCTACAAACAGCTTTTAGTAAACATAAAATGTGCCCGTTCGTTAGTGGAATGTTTCTTACGGTAACAGGACGAATTGCTAACTCACATTGCAATTACGGTGCTACTGTTAACAACAAACTTACGTAGAAATTCATGAATTTATTCAAAAGAAAATTGTGCAAAATGTGATCACACGGTGTAGTTAACGAAAAACGACTTTAACCCTTTAAGTACGGCCATGTATGACGCAAAATTCACGCGTAGTTTGGAATAGAGATGTTCGATATTAATTCGATTCTTCAGAAGATCGATTCTCCTGGGTAACACGTCACTGTCATGTATAATACATACACTAACGGCCAAACGTATGGGACCTGATGTGATAATTAAAGAAAGAGGAAAATATTATTCTACGAAGAATTAATGAAGGTAACGTGTTATAACTGATAAAAAGTAATTTGTGAATGTAATTGAAATTCCGTATCTTTATTTTATCGTAACAGAATAACGAGTTACTGTTCCATCAATCACGAACTCCATACTTTTGGGCCGTTAGTATATGTGTTATAAATGGCAGTGATGTGTTACCTAAGAGAATCGATCATCCTTACTTTTGAGCAACACGAAACTTGGCAATGTTTACACACGCTTAGGTGTTACATTATAAATAATCTTTGATAAAAAAAATAAACGTTCAGTGTAAGCGTAATCGCAATGAAATTTAATATTAAATCTACTTGAAGAGTTTAACACATTTAGCATAATACAGTGTAACACAAATTTTGCGGTAAATTAGAAGCTAATATAATTTTGCTAGAAGCACTAAATAATAAATTTAGAATCCGTCATTTCCACAGGTTCGGTAGTATATAACACGTTGGTAGTACTATTAACACGTTGCCTACCACAGTGAAAAAGACCGTACATAGTCAGACTCACTTTATTTCGTTTTTTAAGTCATACTACCAGCAATAAATGTATACTAAATTAACTTGCTTAATCCGCCAATACCTACAGTATATACACAATATAGCATAATATAGTGCAATATGAAATATATAATAAATTAAATGTCGACCTGAATACCCACCTTAACAAATTTAGTAACTGTAGATCAAAATTCCGTCATTTTGACGGGTTCGGTGGTTCTAGTCTGAATATCTTAAGAACTGTTCAGTGTACAGACCGAATAACTGTAGTCTCCCATAGTATCGAAAGGGTAAAACGACAAAGCTTACAGAAAAATTCACGACAGCTTCGTCCAACCGTTTATCGAGTAGCCCGTCTTAAAGTCTCGCCTACGAAAATCCTTGTTTCGTCGTCGAGCCAAGAATAAAACTGCTCCGTGAACGGTGTATTCGATAGATCAACGGTTCCGAGTACACTCGTGGACCGCCAGAAATCTCTTACACGCGCTCTCGTAAATTCCCGAACCAACGGCGATGTTTCGAAGCAAAACCCCGTAAACGGGGAGATAAGAGGAACAGACGGTGGTGGGAGGTTGGGGAAACGACACTGGGACCGTCGAGAAAACGATCTTTATCCGATCAACGGCAACGATACCGCCGGAAATAAAAGTGAAGTGCGGTCAGCAACCCTGTGTACACGGGAACGACGCGAAACTGTGCTCGTGAACCAAAAGGGGTGGGAGAGTGAGGGTCACAACAGGCCATTTACAACATGGCATACTTCACGCTGTTCGCGGTGTTTCTGACGTTGCAGCTCCTCCTTTCGTCGTTTCCACAGCGCGGTCCCGTCCTGAACGGTCCGACGTTCCCGTTCCTTTCGCGCGTCCTCCTCGACTTCCGGTACATACGTCGTCGCCGGGATTTCCTGCGGCATCTCTCGGTCCCGGTGTCTTCCTCTTAATAAAAGGACGGAACAAATCACGGGGGCATACCGTGTCCTCGCGGCTCTGAAACTGCTACCTCAACCGGCTGGTGGTACGTGAGCAAACCTGGAAAATCAAATAGATATTGCGCTGGGAAGGGGGGAATTGAAAGGAATAGAAGAGCTCTCCACGACCAGTTTCAGGTGTCACTGAAATTCTGAAGTGACTAACATCAACTGTCAAATTGTTTATTTAGTGGAGACGATCGATTAATGCGGGGTAGGAACGACCCACGTTCGTGTGTACAGTACTGGACAGAATTATGAGAGCAGAGTTCCATGATTCAGTGTTCCGTCGTAGACCGAAACGACGGTTATACAGTCAGACGATACCGTTACTTTTTATTATTTTATTCCTTCTTTCAGTCAATTTATATATTTTCAAGACCGACCCTTTGCAATTTCGATTTCGTTGACAAAGGGAATCAGAGACAAAAGAAGCGAACATTTGGTCTGCAGTCCGCCACATCCGCTCGGTAACCTGGGACCCATCCGCGCCGGGCCTTACCGGGGCGCGCTGACTCGCAGACAATATAGTCATAAAACCTTACCGTTGAGAGACTCGAAAATTCGTCGCGGTCAACTCGCACCGCGACCACGTGCGCGATATTTTCCTGACGTCCGCTTCGACCTGAAGGAGAGGTATTCCATCTCCACGTCGCTTGGAAAAACCGAGCAATTTGCCTTCCCCTTTGTAGGAGGGTCGAGCGGAGGAAATGATTAGTGTATTAAACAGTTTATTGAGTCGATCTAACTTCGACGGGAGTCGGTACAAAACAAGAGTCCTCCCCGCTTCTGTCGTCTTTCTTATATACTATGGCATTCGTTCACACACACACACACACACACACACACTCACACACAGGACCTCCGCGTTCGGTGAATCGTCATCGGCGGTAGATGTCGATCACACGGAAGCGGTATCCGTCTTTCATGCCTATGTCGGCGGCCCGCGTCGCAACGACGACTCGGCGGCACAACGACGATATCTGACACAATGGTTACGTCTCCACGTGTCCACGTGCCGGTTACTAACAAAGCCACCGTCGGGACAGCAAAGGCACATGCCGATGCCTACACCTTCAGGGCATAACCAATAAGGAAGCGAGTTTTGGTAACGCCTTCATCGAACTTTGAGGAAGCGCGACGTCACACGACAGTCGAAAAGATTCATTCGATCGAAAACATTCATTAGAATCACTCGTTCGCAAACAGTCATTCGCAAAACACACTCGTTCGACAAGAGTCACACGGACTCAAGACATTCACGTACTCGTATCGACAAGAGTCAAACGGACTCAATTCATTCGCATTAACTCGTAATCGAACAGTCATTCGACAACAATCATTCGAAAACTCGCACTCGTTACGACAAGCGTCACACGGACTCAATTCATTCGACAACATTCGCATCACGATTCGTCAGCTCCAACGGTCGAGCAATTATTAGTTTTTCTCACTAGAGAATATTGAATCAGTTGCGTAATATTAATTTGGCGGGCAACAGTCGCAACCGGACGCGTACCACGACGGTCGAGCCTGGAATTTACAACTCCAGGCGGATTCGAAAGAGAAATCCACGCGGACGGACGCGACATTCAGGGAACCGTATGTCGTTATTCTGTTACGATATAATAAATGTTACGGAATCGGTATACAGAATTTTTTTAATCAGTTTTAACACGTTACTTTTAACAAATTTTTGTAGAAGTATTTTGTAGAAATCTTGTAGAATGTTGTTAAGGGCACTCTTTTGAGTAGCCCCTAAGAAGTTTAGCTCGTTTTTTATTGAAAAGTTATTAGTAAAAAGTATTTGTAACATATATCAGTTATTCAAACCAGTTACTCTAACCAACTCCAATCCGTATAATGCTTCAGTGTTGGTTAGACACAGTTGAAGAAAAACAAATCAATCAGAATCAGTCAGAGACAGTTACTTTTTTCTTGAATGTACTCGAAGGAAGTAAACGAATGTTTAATGTAATCTCGAAGAAACTAAATCCTGTTGTTTCGATGACACGACGGTAGATGGATTCAGGTGCATTAGACTCGATGTTTTTCGCCTGGGACCGGGAACATTAAACCGGTGTCTGGTTAGTAAGACGGTCGCGTCGCGCGAAAAAGCATCGGTGCCGTTATCATCTATTATTGATTTAACAAGATATTGTCCCGGTCGACGGGAACGCGACAGTTCGTACACGTTACGAATTTCATTGTACATCTCTCGTTCGCACGAACCTCTTTCCAGGAAGACACGAGGATCAATCTAGTCTCCTATACGAGTCTTTCTTCCATCGATCGTCACACATGGCGTTTCAGTAATTGGGTTTTCTCCTGCGAAAGGTATACAATTGTCACAAGGAACGATCATTTTACTGTGACTAGAGTTTCAGTACATACTTTTGCTTAAATTGCATATTAAGGAATTTCAGCGTAGTCTTTGGAAAACATACGGAATAACAATAGTTCTGATGGATTTTTCACGTTTTAACGGATATTATTTCGACACGTTTTTTGTAAAAATTGAATATCTTCCGCTCGATTATCTTATCCTTCGCAGATTTAGGATCGTTTAAACTCTCAATACTTTGCCCAACTAACGGTGAGTTTAACTCGCCACGCTATTTTTTATGCTAACTCCAACGGTGAGTCTCATTAACCATCATAAACATTAATTACATTAATGAAGTGGTGGAAATAAATATCCAAAGTGTATTTCATTATTATTTTTGTGTATTTTTGTATTGAAATCAATCAGCATCACATTATTGTAGTATTAGGACGTATTGATTCATTATATATTATTATTATAGAGCTTGAGGTTAAAAAATCATATCCTTAAAATGTAAAACTGTCTGAACGGTTCAAAGGAAAAAGCTATTTTCAATTTGGGTATATATTACCTTTTTTTATTTTTTATTCAAAACTATTACGAAGTTGCTGATTCCCCATGGGAAAAATAGCTTGGGGTGCAAAGGGTTGACACGCAATTGTCCAGCGATTAAGCGTGTCAACACAGTTTCTGTCCCCCGTAAGTCCATTTCTGTACAATTTTCAGTCTTGTCACTTCGGATCAAAGTGTGTTCTCGCGAATCGCCCGACCGCGGGATAATAAATTTCATTGCGGTCGATAAAGCTCGGTTTATTACAGAAACATCAAAATATAATAACGGTCAATAAACCGATGAATAATCTAGAACGACCCGAGAGAACACGGAAAAGAGTTCGCCTATCGATTTATCCATAAAAATGTCCTCGCGAAACGGCGATCGAGCGTTTTGCGCGTTACGCGAGGAATTCACGAACCCCACTTCTCGTAGGGGTATAAGAAAATGGAAAGACTTCCGGGCATGCCTGCATAATTCCATCGATATCTTTTTATTCGACGGCCACGACATTGTTACGAGATGCTTGGTGAATTTCATTTTTGGATAATGAAAAACCATCATCGCGGGCCAGGCATTTGAAAAACTCCTCCTCGAGTTTAATGAAAATTCTCGTCCCTCGCGAAACACGCGGAAAATTCTAAATCGGTTAAATTCAAGCTGAAATCCGAATATTTTCCCACTGATTTACATAAGATGACGAGAGAGAACTTAGGCTGTCCCTAAAGTGGAATCGATCGATTCGATCGCTGATACCAGGGTCATTTTTTAAGGAAGCAATCGTTTTGTCGTAAACTGGTAACAATTTATTGTACGTCAAAATCCTTGTTCTTTGAATGAAAATAAATCTTAAACTATTTTTCGATGTAATTCTCGTTGAGATCCTCGTTGAATCAATCGATGACAGTTTAGCATACATCGTCCTTGGTCTATATACGTTTTTCACTTTGTAAATTTCTTTGATTTCATGAACAGATGTGAGTCAGATGGCGTCAAGTTTGGACTGTACGTAGGATGGTCCAATATCAACCATCGAAACTTTTGCAACAGTGTTGCCATTAAAAGTGAAAAATTCTGTTCCATTTTAATTCGCAGATATTAGTATTTGAAATTGTAAATGTACATAAACTTTCGCAGTCTGGTAATGAAAGTGTGTGGATAGGAATAGATTCGAAAATCATAAATACGACAGAAAGAATTCCATCAATTAACACGTCGCCTGCCACAGTGAATAAATCCGTACGTAGCCAGACGCAGTTTATTTCGTTTCTTACGTCATAAATCGTAAAAAATATATGCGTTTGCGGAATAAAGTTTTGTCGTCGATTATACTGCGGTATTAATTTTACAGAAAAATTTTCTGACTTTATTTAAATAATCCAGCATCTTCGCAATGTTTCACCCACGAGAGAAGAATGATCATCGTACACAGTTCGCTTCCCTCAAAACGACGCATCGAGCGATTGTTTCATCCGGTGGGATAAATTTTCCAACGGTATTCCGCGTATGGTAACATTAAGTTTAATACTCACGATGCGGGAAGTTTTCCGTGTCACGGAAACCGGCCCTCGAATGCAGCCCAGCCCCAGCCGAGGTAACTCGCGGAAAATACTTGGTATAAACCGATTACATCCATACAAAAGCTGCTCACCTGACGATGAGAGCACGCGACTGGCGAACCACCGCCACCCTGTGGATCCTCGGGTTCGTTCGAGTCCACCCTCCTGTTGGTTCTGGTTGCCGACGTCGATTCCCTTCCCCCGTCGACATACCAGCACATCATCCCCCGACGTCGACGTGGAACGCGGGGCGCTGTGTGTGCGTCACGATTTACGTCGTTGCCGTCTATCCACCACCAGCACGGTACCATACGGCCGCTCGACCTTCGACCGCTGTTGGCTCGTGACCAGGGCCGTCGAGGGAACACGAGGAGAGAAACGCAACACGGACCGCCCCCTCCAGGTCCTAAACTTCGCGAAAAATTACGAGGCTGGGCTACAGTGGACAGCGGTTTAGGGTGTACGGACGATTTACGCGGGAGATCCCTTTCGTTGGAAGGTTTACACGAACCTTGGTGGATAGATCGGAGAAGTTTTGAGAATTTTTAGTGTAGGGCGAGAAAAAAAAAGCATCTCTGTAGGGGAATGGAAGATGAGTGGAAATGTTTGTGGGAAGCGTAAATTTTCAATGTGCGATTTGATTTAGGTTGCGAATGACCCGTGGTTGAATAGTGTTCCTGTTTCGTGCGTGCAAGTGGTTGGGACGATTTGGATGATTTTAGGGGACATTTTTCTGGGAATGAAAGAAGCGTGTTAGTTGAGGGTGGAAGGGAAGGGATGCATATGGGCTGAATGGGCTTCGGACGATTAGGATGATTTTTTAGGGGACATTTTTTTGGGAATTAGTGAAGCATGTTGAGGATAGAAGGGAAAGGGATACATATGGGGGTTGATTGCTGTGTACGAGGAGGGTGAATGTACGGGAAAAGTATATGGAAGGGGCAAAAAGGTGAGCAGATAGGGATTAGAGAGCGAACAGAGCAGAACAGAGCGCACGGTAAAGTGATTTATATAAGATTCTTAGATTGAAGAGTGCACATTTAAGTGCATTCGTTGCTACTGTTCGTGTGACAATGAATTTCTTTGTTTCGTTGTCGCCTTAAGTCTAAAACTGTCCTCGAGAAAATTAGATTCCTTTTTTGTTCTATTTCTACGCTTCTACCACGTGTAAGCTGAAATATTAATATATGCACCTGTTCCAACGTTTTTACCGCTTATAGAAACATCGTTGAATTTTGTTATAGATGTCGATGTTATGTAAAATAATTGATATCACGAAGGACCCCTGACACGGCAGTTCTCGATTAATGATCCACGATATCAGTAGAGCCGTTGTTATGTCAAACGGTATATCGTGTACAGCTTCTCGGAGGTGGCGCATCGTAACGAACGTTGTGCAAAGAAAAGCCGCACCTAAAGATAGACTCTTGAAAATAATTGGAGGATCTCGTGTCTGGAGTGTGTGTACACGGTATGCGTGTGTGTGTGTGTGTGTGTGTCGAGGAGTTTGTTGTAAACTTCAACAAGCGTTGCGTGCTATTACATGCCACTGACCTTTCGCGCTGGGCCATCGAGTTGAAGGCTGCCCGATAACAAATAAGGAAAAATGCGTTCGCAATGGCGAACGGCACGCGATGCGCAGCTTTTCAAAGACGGGGAACGTAAGTACATATATATATACATTCTCTTGGGCGTGGAGGTACGAATAACCTTGCGAAATGATGTAAAACAAGAGGAAATGTATTCACGTTTTAACGAACGGATTTGAGAACGGTGCATGTAAATATAGAGAACATTCATAATTCTGGTTATAGCGGAGGTGTATGCACGAAAGAAAATGTATCGTTCGGTCAACGTGTCGGTGGTTTTTCAGGGGTGGACGAACGAACGCGCGAAACACGTAGATACCGTCCGCAAAAATGCCCTTCTCGTCGTTTGTTTTATTACTGTACTGTGCCCGCGAAAGAGAGTTTGTAAATGGCGTGCAAAAACTTCTAACGACACGGCTAACATACGATAAAAAAAAAAGCGCCTTCGCAAGTTTCAGAAGATGAAATTAATTGCGATGGAGAAATTGCAGTATTTTATAAGTCGACATAATATTTAAACCTACCTTTACTGATTTTACAGAAATATTATTATACGTATATTGTAAAAACATACTTGGCTGAGTTTATACAAATATTATTATAAATATATTGTAAAATTGTATAAATAAGTGATATTTAAGGTAACTGTTGTTGAATTTATGCAAATACTGAATAATTTATATAAAAGCGCGGGAAACCATCAAAATCGAGGATTTGCTAAAATTATGGTAGCCACTTGCTGGCAGAAATTTCAATTCTAGAACTTTTATAAAAAGCGCAGTAAACATCGGAAAATAGTTGGCGTTGTAATTATTAACGTATATTAACGATTTATATCTGAAAAAATTGCTCCCAATTTGCTCCTTCCGAATCTGTAATTGGTTCCACAGCACCGTTTATAGTTAACCGTTTATAACAACTATTGTCCGTTGCAGGAAACTGTAAAATTGACAGAGTGGCACCAGCTGGCGGCGGACTCACCGAACTAAAGTAAGAAGTTCTGCGTTTAGTTCCAATTTCCGGCATTAGGCGGCTACGCTAATTTCAACAATTTTGCAATTTTCCCGCGTTTTTTCAAATTCAAATTTTGCACCAAACTTAACGTTAAACTTATTTTGACGCGATTTTAACTATATTTAGCAATTAGTAATTACGTATTTATGGATGTACGTTTCATATTTATGGAATGCACATGTACCATTTAACTGTATTTTATTGAAAAGATTCCAAGAAAAAGTACAATTCGCAATAGCATTTGTGGTAATTTAACAGCAGTTGCCTTAAATAGTACTATCAGAGAGGAAAGGTGAGTGTTCACGCACATGAATTTGTTGTCCCCGAGTATGTGTGCTGCACCAAGCTGCCAATTCCGGCATAATAGTAGAAATCTACCCGTTTTGGTTCCACGCTAGCATACACAAGACCCTATTTAGTTCAACGGTAGCACGTGTCAGAACCACAAATGTACCACATCAATTGGAAGTGGTTTTACGTGACAAGAAGTTTTTGCGCGTTAAGGGGAAAATTACATATAGAATACTGAAAATAAGCTGATCTTTTGAATTTATTACAAAAAATCTATTAAATAAATCATTATGAAACTTTCAGTACTACATATTTATAGTTTAAAATTACAAAAAAATTGTTTTTTAGTAAATATGTCTGCTGTAAATTTCGCTATAACCTATTCTTATAGGTTTAGGCTCAAGAAAGAAGTCATCCGCCGAGGGATTTTAGTACCGATAGTATTAGACAATTAAAATTTAACTTATTTATAAGGTTTATTGTGATAGATGCTGAACTTGTGTTTTCATAAAACCAGCCTTCCGCCTTCACTCGCAGCATTCACCTGGCACCGATCACGATCCCCCAAAGAGAGTCGAATCAACTGTCGCGACTAGTCAAAGACGTATTCAATATGATTTTACGATGAATTACGTTACTATTCGTGTTTGTAAAAATCAATAGAAAAAACAAGAAATTCTAAAAGAATGATTTGCTAGGTAACATGTAGATTATAATTTATAATCATTAATTTATTCATTATTCTTCATTCTTTTGATTCGTCATGATCAAGCACTCAACTTGTAGCTGAAAGAACGTAGATTAATCTCCTGTCAGTAGCAATAACAATAAACGACCAGAACACTATTAAAATCGCAATTTAATCACGGAGTACCACTATTTTTACGACCGGTGGCGCCATCCGTGGCGAATCGCTAAAACTACTCGCCAATTATATGGCTGGCAGTTTCAGCGATTCGCCACGGGTGGCGCCACCGGTCGTAAAAATAGTGGTACTCCGTGATTAAATTGCGATTTTAACAGTGTTCTGGTCGTTTATTGTTATTGCTACTGACAGAAGATTAATCTACGTTCTTTCAGCTACAAGTTGAGTGGTTGATCATGACGAATCAACCGTTATAGGGTACTAATCTACATTCTTTAAACTTCGAATGTAATGCATGACGAAGAAAAGTGTTGCCTGTTTAGTGGTTGTGTAATTGCAACAGTTTTCGATCGGATTTACACTGCTAAACGAGCATCAGTTTTCCTCGTCATGGATTACATTCGAAGTTCAAAGAACGCAGATTTATACTCTCTTGTAGGTGGGAACCAGTAATTACAAGAACATTGTTTAAATCTCAATTGTTTGCAACGGTTGACGTTCTATCTCGCGATGCGTACCCCGGTTAGTTCACTTTGGACAGCTCGTACACCGTTATACGGACTGCTTTCGTTTAGCTGGAGCACTCAATTTGTAGCTGAAAGTACGTAGATTAATCCAGTGTTATTGATAATAATAATAAACGACCAGAACACTGTTAAAAACACAATTTAATCGCGTAGTACCACTATTTTTACGACCGGTGGCGCCACCCGTGGCGAATCGCTGAAACTACTAGCCATATAATTGGCTAGTAGTTTCAGCGGTTCGCCACGGATGACGACACCGGTCAAAAAAATAGTGGTATTCCACGATTAAATGCGATTTTAACAGTGTTCTGGACACTTATTGTTATTATGAGTGACAGGGTATGAATCTTCGTTCTTCTAGCTATAAATGGAATGCTTGGTCAAGACAAAAGCTGTCAGTATAACGTTGTAATCGTTGTCCAAAGTGAACTAAACGGGGGACGCATGACGGGATACAGTGTAAACCGTTGCAAACAATTGTGATTTTAACAATGTTCCTATAATTACTAGTTCCCGGCTGCTAGATAGTACTAATCTACGTTCTTTACGCTACAAATCGAATGCTTAGTCAAGACGGAAGCTGTTAGTATAACTACCGACTAGGTATAGGATAGATCTATCATCTTATGGGATTTCGTGTCTCATGTTCTGAAATACCGATAGTGTAAAAAGTCAGGGATTTTCTGCTGCTCTCTACGTTATGAGAACGGTGAATTTGTGAACTACGTTAAATCTAAGAAGGGACCATGGTCGTGAACGGATTCTCTTCCGTCCGTTCGCTATAAAGTAGACGTATTACAAAGGAGTCTTGGGTTCGAATCCTGACGGATCTATATTAGTTTTTCTTCGCGTACAAAAAAGTTATTGCGTTTAATATTGTTTTTATGGATATGTATATGTATTATTATGTACATTTGAGTAAATTATTTTATTATTCCATTGTTATTACAACAGTTTAACAGTGACAACGAACGCATGCATATTTTCAAATATCGGACTAATAGTATATTTTTATTCTATATTATTACATATAAGTGAGTAATACGTATCAAAAATGTAATCGAAACACAGATTTTTATTACGCCACAAACATCGCATAAAAGATATTTCGTTATATTGACATTTGTAATAATTATGGATGTTGCAAGGAAATCAATATTATTGACATTATGGAAGATATAACGAAATATCACTGTAACACTTAAAAAACTTTTAAAGTTCCATTTATCTCATTGTCCTGTGAAAATATTCATACTTCGAGTAGTATTTATATTCCAATCAAAGAATTCACAGAATGAGGAAAAGGAATCTACAGTAATTTTCCGTAGTTCCATACATCTTTACCTCGAATAATTTTCTAAAATATTCATAGTACTAGACATTTTTACACTTTGAATCTCATATCGATTTCTAAAATAATCCTAGTTTCATGTAATATAGAACGTGGTTTTATGAGATATATTCGAAGTTCGCAGCCATTAGCTCGATATTGTCTTCAGTTTATAGTACTTTACCGAAGAGAATACCGATTGCCCAGGCCTCACCACGTGGAGGTTGCTGCGAGTGGAGGCCCAAGGCAAGTAGATGGAATCACAAGTTCTACATCTACCCACCTTTCACAATAAACCTTATAAAT